GCAAAAGCCTTGCAAGGAATGAAATTATTCGAAAATGAGAGCACACACGAAAGACGACAGATGCCGAGGTACTCCATAGAGGTTTGGCTTGTTGGCGTCCGTGGTGATGCGTATAAAAGGCGCATCGATCTGCTCAATATTCACTATACTATGATGCTTCTGTGGCCTGTGATCAATCACCTTCACCTAAACATAATGATATTCGAGTGCAGGGGTGACGGGAGGGCTGCACATCACAGATATAGGTCGCTAGAAGAAATTGCGGGATTTTCGGAAGCCAGGGCCTGAATCAGATACAACAGCAGCAAATATTGAGATTCGCAATTGGCGAAAGACCACCCTGGCTAATTTGAGTACGACAAGGCAATCTGATCTAGAATACCATGCCTTAGACAAGACAAACGAGGCAGAAACGTGATCGAGCGGTGTTTAGCCTCGGAGTTAAAAACTTTGCGCTGACTTTTGGCAGCAGCCTTGGTAACGAAGCAGGCTAGAGAAACAAAGAAAGATAAACAGTTTGTCTTGAGAAACAAAGAAAGATAAACAACTTGTCTTTGTGGCCACAAACCAAAGTAATATGTGCTGTATCAATCGACGTGCGTGAAGCACGAGTAGGAACGCTTATGCGAAATTCTTTTTATTAAGCTCTACTTGAAACACTGGAGAAATTGCCGTTTGGCACGATCTTTTGGGAGTCTTTATCGCTCAAGTTACGTGTTCCATTCACGTATGCAGTCTTCACAAAATCGAACAATAACATCGTGGGCCACCACAACTTTTATCACATTTCTATCATCATGTTTAGAGGTTTAGCAGTTTCTTTATAGGAGCTTCCTTATTTAAATGGGTTTTGCGGCTACACCGAAGGGGGGGGCGACCATTCCGGATCCCGTCAAGTTCAGTATACCTTTTTCAGGCAGAGAATACAGAACTTAGAAAGTAAGTTGGCTTTAAGCACATGTGCTGTTGGCTCTCGACATAGTTTGATGCTTTGTGAGCTGGTTGACTACCTGGGTCTCAATCACCCTTTTAGTTTTCCGAAATTACTGAGTCTTTACTCGGTTGATTTAAAAAAAGCGGCTTACAGCCGAAACTTTTCATCTAACTCAAAAGCTATTGTAGCGCCGCTACATAAAGCTTCCGATGATATCACCGTTGACGAGATGCGGAGATGATCGATGTAGAATGACTCTTGCATTCTTTTTAGCCTGCAAATAAAAATGAATCAAATCTTGATTCAGGATCAAGATTAATTTGTGACCAAAACGTGTTTTACTTGGCTGGAGACTCAACGCTATTGCGCGAAACGGCTCCACTTAGCATACCCCGCTCAAATCTTGTAATGACGACCCTTAAGTAGATCCGATTAATTGTGGCGGCTTGCGATATTGTAACATCATGTTATCAGCTTTGAACGATTGATCGTTGGTTTAAGATGCGGTAACAAGTTGCGGAGATCGCTCTTTGATCTAAGTGATTCAGTCGGTAGGACTGGAGTAAGATGCAAAACAGTATGCAACTGAAGTCACGGGAAAAGCAATTTGATGATACAAACGTCTGTAGCAAACCAGTACATTATACTTGGGCAACGGGATCATCCTTTACTTATCAGCATCCAGCATTTAGTTGTGTGATCGCACTCACCTTTGATCGATTTTAAGCTATTAACAAGCGTGCGCCGCGGTAGTTACCTTACCAACGAGTGACTTTGTAATTGTATATATCCCATTGTTAGGGATACGCTGGATCTCACCTAGTACGTGTAAAGTACACCTAGTCGCGTGTTTACAGACCGACACACACACACATTTACGTACAATTTAAAAGTTCGTAATTCAACCTTGCGCACAGTCACTAATAGCTTTACCCTTCGGGCTCGCATTGATTTTATCTGTTGACATGCGACACAGACCAATCGGCGCAATATGGAGTGAAAAGCCACGCACAATGTGCATGTATCCATCTGTAATTTTTAGCCTCGGTGGACACCAAATCTATAAGTTAGCAGAGAATCGTAGTTATCGGATTTCGTTAGAATCGTACATAAGTATATTTACTATTTAAATTACATATAATGATAATGTAACACAACAAAAGTTAAAGAGATGAAATATGGGAGCCGTCTTACGTACCACACCCTTTTATTTATGCACCATATTCCGCAGCAAATTGGACCCAATGTTGTCGCTCATAGAAAGGGGTGACTATGGTCATCCCAAAAATACAATCTAGATCTATCAGTTGTGACTATCACTCTATCGGCGATTCATCTCTAGCATTATATTAAGGGAAGACATACGAGAAATAGACAAGACGACCAAGGTCATTAACGGCTCAACGATGAGAGCGTCATCTCTGCCACAACGAGAACGTATGCGTATCAAATACGTATTCGTAATCAGCCTTGAACGTTTAGCACAGTCGCGGTTGAGCTGTAATGGACGTAAGAGCTGCCAATAGGTAGAACTGGACGCTTCAGTAAGTTTTCTTGCAGTATAATGATGTACAATACTATGGTTGAAACTGATGAGGGTATACGAATACATAATCTGAGTGGGCTCATGACAGTACAAGTGTTTAATTTTTGATTGGAAGTGGATGCTCAGGATGACGCAGTCGAAAAAAATTTAGCGTCGTAAACAACGCCTAGATGAAACACCGCGGCGAAAAGATGACGACGCTAAAGATGACGAACGGACTTTATTGATGAAAAAGTGCGAGTGGTAGTAACTAACTACGTGTGCACAGTCACTGAAAGACGTTTATGGCGTATAAGTTACAGTTTGTCGCACCAACAGCCAGAGCAAGATCAAATTACTGACGTCATGCACTGACCGAATGATGCTGACGTGCCAGCGTTCCCGGCAAGGGCAAAATTCAACTCACGGTTCTACTTTTTTTGCTCTGCTCTTCTGCGCTGTTCTGTGTCAAGGTAATTGAATAAACCTGCAACGTTTTTACGATAACAGCGAGAAGATGCAGATTCTAACTGTATTTTCTCTTCGATGATCTCCTAGGCCCTCACGGTTGGTCGAATGTCGTGGGACCATAGGATTTGGAAAACGTCTCAATCAAGGAAAGAAGCGAATCAGTTAAGTTTTTTGACAATGGATATGGGCACCTTAGAACGCGTGTTGGAGATGGTGTGACGTCGATGCACGCGAAGCTCGCCATCTTCTACAATGAGACGATAGAAACTACATGCATTCTAAGAGCAAAGTTAATAGTATTTAGGACGGTAATTCGAATCCTAGTCACTCTACCCTTCATCTACATTGAGGATAATACGATCACTAACAATGTGTTGTTACTATCGGCAATGTGATTATTAGCAGCTGAACGCAGAGGCCCTCTGTAACGGGGCACCCTCAAGCTTGTACTGGTGACAGTACAAGCTACTTATTCTGATGACAGAATCAGGCGGTGCCTTCGTAACTTCACGTACACTCGTACGTGCAGAGGAAGACGGTAAGAAGAAGCGAGTACTTGGTTAAAGTAAAAAGTAGAACTGTATTTATAATAGTTAATGTCTGCAATAAATCACTATTTATCTTCATCTAACTATGTCTAAATACAAATGTGTAAATCAGTTATCTGCTCACCACTCATTGCGTGCGTCTGTCGTGGCGCGTCTTCGTTGGTTGATATAATGGCCTATATCAACCAATCGGGAACTACTCGTAAGTGCTACAGAATATTTGTCCTTATGAAAATATTCTGAGAATGTAACTCTTATAGTTATATTCTATTAACAATTTCTAATAAATTGTTATGTAACGATTCACCCCGTTACAACACCCCCCCCCTTAACCATCAGTCACTTTAGTGACTGATTGACTAAATGGATACTCGTCCCATATCATTTGGGACAGGGTTTGCACTTGTTGGTCCGCGTCCACTTTCCAACATTTCATCGCATGGTAAACAAGCCCATGCGATGCGCGAGCAAGGCCGCCGAGAGCGCGTCTGCACGTCTCTGTGCGGACGCCGAAGCAGAAACAACAGCAACTGATGTCTCATCGGTTGCTGAAGCGACCCAGCCTGTGTCACTTGGTGATGCAGGCGCTGGTCATGAAGACACTCGTGTCTTCACAGAGTACGAGCTCGGTGTCTCGTACTCTCCTGATACGGAAGAGGGATCCGTATCGACGGCGATTGAATCTAAGCCGCCTGCCAAGCGTGGCATGGACAATGCTTTGCGTCGCAGCATCTTTGGTTCGTCTGATGAATCAAATGAACCATCGCCGAAGCGAAGGCGCTCGAGGTCGCGAGACTCGGGCGCTAACAGTGGTGTCGGTTCTCCTATGGACACCACTTCACAGCGAGGTGCCAGTACTTCTGTCGGCACGTCGCAGGAAGAGCGGGACCGCAATGTGTTGCGTCTCGCCCCTGAGAAGAAGGCATGGATGCCTCCTAAATTAGTCATGGATCACTTGTCGGCGACGACGAGTGATCGTTATCGAACACGGTTGTTAGATTCGTCAAGGATCCATCACCTTGACCCCAGTACGAAAAACTATCGCACTGAACATGAGTTCTCCATCGATGCTTTCTTTAAGTATCGATAGTACAGTGGGAATGACAAACATGATGGTCCCTCACTGCTTCAAGCGTGGAACGCTTACATCCATAACCTCGAGGATGTAGGTCGTGACGCTTGGAACGACAAACTTATCAAAGCTCGTGATAAGTTTGAAAAGCGAACCCCGACAGGTGCACGCTACAAGCTGCATCGTCTGTCAAGGGAGAAAGGATTGCCCTGCCTTTATTGGGGAGACTCGTGCCCATGTTGTGTGAACAACTCTGCACGAGCACCTAAGGAGGCTTACCTCCTTACCAGCCTGTGTGGCGCGCGCGAATCTCTACTAAGATGAACGAAGGGATTGACAACCTGAAATCCCTTTACGACCGTGCCGGGAAGACTTTCTCCGGCGGTCCTTCTGCGGCACAGGATATGCCGCGTCGTACTGTTCAACCAGAACCAGTACGTCGATCATCAGTTAAAAGTGGGGCTCCCAAGTATCCCAGGACGGGGGATAGCCGCGCCACCGGACGAGATAACTCGTCCGACGTCCGTTCACGTCGCGGTGGTTCAACAGCTGCTCAACTAGATAGCGCTGGCCACCGCGAGAGTCCTCTAATGGAGGTGGAGGAGGAGGAAAGACGCTCTCCACACGATCATGGGGATCCGTGTGTTCCCGAGAGCTTCTTTGATCGCGTAACGCAAGGGCTACGCGACGATCTCGAACATGAGCGGAATAGGCTTCTCCAAATGGCGGACACTGCCTTGAAGCATCGAGCTGAGTTTGCCTTTGCTCAGCTTGAGAACGAGAGAGCTCTGACATCTCTTCGTGACGAGCTAAGGGTAGCTCGTTGGGGATATTGATCGGTCTCGGGATGAGATAGCTGCTCTTCAGACCCTTGTTGATGCCCACCATCGGGAGCACAAGGCTCTCTGCGAGATACTTGAGCGCAAGGGCGTTCTTCATCAGAAGAAGCAGCGTACTGATGGTACGGCTTAAGACAACCAACGTAAAACGTGGGATGCGTTCGCATCTTACGTGGTAACTCGATCGTGTATGCATTGCCTAGGCGGTGCAATACACGAAATGGGCCAATGTACTTGGGTACAAGTTTACTGCTACCCAAGTTAGTCACTACATGCTTTGGTAGATTAACCGTAGACAGTAGGACTAAGTCACCTTTATTAAATAAAAGAGTGTTTTCCCTTCCATTCTTGTCAGCGTTTTGCTTTTGCTTATCCACCGCTTCGGCGATGGAGTCTTGCACAAAACGGAATACCGTTGCACTAGCCAGTAAGAACTCATCGGCTGACTCGTTAGCTTCAGTGCACTGTGAGTGCACTGCAGCAACATCAATCTTTTCTATAGTGAGGGCTTCCTTGCTCTCACTGGCATCATCTTCTTCGATATCGATGTTATCGATATCGGCATCAAACGCAATGACCTCTTCGTCAGAGCGTGATGAGCGTGAAACAAATCGGTTTTTGCTCGCGCGAGTCTCTCCTCCCCTTAAGCCAGAGTTACACTCTAGTAAGGTGGGTACACGCGGATGGCGCAAGCCATTCACGTAAAACGGTGTATGTGTCGTGGACGCATGCACCGAGTTGTTGATGGCAAACTCTACAATTGGCAAAAACTCACTCCAACTCTTAAAGGAGTGTACGTATCCTCGAAGCATCTCTTCAAGGACACAATTGGCGCGTTCCGTCTGACCATCTGACTCTGGATGATCAGATGTCGACATCTACAAGCGCGTTTTGAGTGATTTGAACACGGAGCGCCAGAAATCAGCAATGAAGCGTGAATCTCTGTCTGATACGAGTTCACGGGGTAACCCATGAAGTCGGAAGATGGTGTCAATAAAGACACAAGCACAGCCACTTGCCGTGATTGACTCTGGTACAGCCACAAGGTGTACCATTTTGCTGAATCTGTCAACAAATACGAGAATACCCGTATTCCCGCGTGCGTCTTTGGGTAACCCGAAGACAAAATCCATTGAGATGGATTCCCAGCACTCAGCCAGAACCGGTAGAGGCTGTAAAGGTGCACGCAGTGAAGGACTTGACTTCACTCGTTGACAGACTTCGCATGCGCGAACATACTTTCGCACAAACTGATACTGGCGGGGCCAGTAAAAGTCTCGACTCACCGTGAGATATGTTTTCTCTCGGCCACGATGTCCTCCTATAGGAGCATAGTGATACTCGAACATGATCCGCAAACGCAGATCAGTATCATCTGGAATGACAACACGTGGTGTGTCACCAGAAACGGCTGTATAAAACAGTAACCCGTTGCGAGTAGTGTATCGATCTGATGCAGATCGATACGTAGACGATAATCGTTTCAACGATTCTCGAGATGGTTGGGAGAGATGTGACAACAACTTCACAATCTCACCATCTTGGGCGTATGCCCGCCTCACATCATCATACAACGTTGTAGATGGGACTGGGGACGTCATAACCGCAACAGTGACTGTCTTACTGTTGGGTTTCGCGACTGTTTCAAAGTCGGGACGACGTGAGAGTGCATCAGCAACGACATTAAGTCGTCCTGGTTTGTACTCTAGCGTAAAGATGTATTCCGCAAAGAATGACAACCACCGCACCATTCGTTGTGAAAGGTGCGGTCTGTTCACTGCCGTGCGTAATGACGCATGGTCAGTGTAAACAACGAAGGGTCTATCTCCTAATAGATAGACTCTGCACTTCGCGAGTGCATACCTCATGGCAAGGAGTCCCTTGTCATGCACTGGATAGTTCCGCTCAGCTGGTTGCAGCTGACGCGACTGATAGCAGACGAAGCGTTCGACGCCTTCTAGGTCGTACTGCATTAATGCACAGCCGATTGCGAATTCGCTGGCATCACAGACCACATGAAATGGCCTGTCCTGATCGGCAATTGCTAGGACTGGGGATTGTATCAAGATCTGCTTAATACCATCAAAGGAGCGCTGACATTCAGCGTTCCATAACCACCTCTCGTTCTTTTTCAACAAACGAAAGAGGTGCACAGTCATCTAGGCGTAGTTGCGCTAGTATTTGTGCAAGTACGCTGCCAAGCCAAGGAACTTTCGAAGACCTTTGACATCAACCGGCACAGGCCAGTCGGTGATTGCCTTGATCTTGTCGGGATCAGGACGTACACCGTTCTTACCAACGATGCACCCAAGAAGTGGTATTTCGCTTGCTGCAAATATACACTTCTTGAGGTTAGCATACAATTGATTCTTTCGCATGATTGTAAGAACTTGTCGGAAGTGGTACCTGTGAACCTCAACGTCCGACTTTCCATTCATAGCCCGACTATGGATGAATAAGTCATCGAAATAACTCGGCGCGAACTCTCGTACTGGTCTCAACAGATGTGATACACATCTGTTGAACGTGGCAGGGGCATTACTAAGTCCTTGCGGCATTACTAGCCATTCCCAGAGCATGCCGCTAGGCGTGCTAACTGCTGTATAGGGTATATCCCGTTCCCGCATAAGGATATGATAGAAGCCATCCATCAAATCCATGGACGAAACGATGGTACTCTTTGACATACCATCAATGATTACGTCCTTCCTCGGTATCGGCGTCTGAGCCGGTACCGTTGCAGCGTTCAACTTGTTGAACGCGTGCACTATCCTCCACCTCCTGTTGCTTTTCGCACACAGAAGGTCGGAGAGCTATGTGGGGAAGTTGATTCCCTCACATGGCCCGCAGCTAAACGATCGGCAAAGAACTTGTCGATCGCAAGTACTTGTTCACGAGGCAGTGGCCACTGCTTCATGACACAGTACTTCGAGCCTGGTTTAAGCTCGACTTCGGGTCGAACACCTTTATCCTTCGGTAATTCGCACGGAACAGTTTCAGGGAATACATCCTTGAATTCAACCAAATCTTCATAGAGAGGATATGTCTTGAGCGATTCCCATGATTGGGAGTCATATCGCTCAATTCTTGTCTTTTCATCTGGGACACTCTCGTCCATAGATGAACTTCTGAGAACTCTCTCGTTCTCAGTAAACACTGTTGCTGACCTTACGTCGGATACACACCCGTCGTCAGCGACTATTACGCAGATCTGCTTGACTTTGCCACAACGCAGATCACGCAAGAACATTTTACGTTCGAGCGTTGGCAACTGAGTGATATCCGAAGTCAACTTCGGAGGCGCAATCAGATCAAGTGTATAAGCGCCTACACTGGATCCGTTATTGACTAGGACATTCAATGTCTCTGTCATTTCCTGGGGACTTATTCCCTCAGGCCTCGAAGGACTTATTCCTTCGGCTTCCCGGGGACTTATTCCCGCGGGTTTCGGGGAACTTATTTCCGCCGTATTTGTAATATCGGGACTTATTCCCTTAACTTCCTCTAGCTGTGGTTGCGAAACCACAGCGAGATCCTCTACGAAAGACTCTCCAGTCGATCTAGGATTATCGTTTCGCTTAACCTGAGCGATCGATTGTTTCTCTTCTAGATGTTCCCCGCTAGGGATACATCTTTGTCCCGGTCCACTCGACTTATTCGAGTGGTGGACCTTCGGCGCAGCCTGTGTATCCTCACAGCCGCCGGAACTTTGCTCCGAAGTGTGACTGTTTGGTACACTAAGGTTTTGAGCAGTCGTACTAACGACCGTACCACAAGTGAGGCCATCGCACTCACTCGTAGTACATCCACACGCTTGTGGACGCTCCAAAAACGTTCATCAGATGGCCATCTGATGAACAAGCGGCAGGCATCGTTACTGTCCGATGTTGCCAGTTTACCCGTGGTTCGTACCCTCTGAGCCACGGTATTCCAAGGATGGCATCAAATTTGTCATCCAAATCCAATACGATAAAGTCATCGTCATATTGGGTATCTTCTAGCGTATAGTGGATCTTCACTATACGCTTCATGACGGTTACGGATGCGCCTGTCACAAGACGTACCGTCATCCTTGTAGGAGGTGTGTCATATTCACTGAATTTAAAGTGACCATCTTCCAGCGATTGGCGTCGCACAAAATTGTTGGACGCCCCACAATCGACTAGAGCTCGAAGAAACAACTTATTTGTCACTTCGAGTTTCAAGGTAATGAGTGAGATCTCATTACCTGGAGCAGCAACGCACAGTTTTGTGTGTTGGGAGCAACCTTCGTCAAGAGGCCTACAAATTGTTTTAACGTTGCTAGACCAGTAGGGTGCTCCGCACCTACTGATCCTGTCCGTTTTTGATGTTCGATCCCGTTGTTGCGTCTGTGCACCAACGGCGGACCCGCGTCCCTGCCCCTTTCTCATGGGTGGACGGTCATTACGCCCAGTCTTGCGAGACACTGGACGAGGGGCACTACACTCGTAAGCGTAGTGTCCTGTCTTTTGACATCTGTTGCATCTCTGCAACTTCTTGTAGTCTGTAGAGCGAGCCTTCTCGCTCTCTACATAACAGAGTTCCATCGGCTCTGGACCTCCGTTGTCATATCGTCTCGGTTGACGATATGATGTCGAGCTGGCGCGAGCCTGTCTCATACTGAAGTCTTCCTGCTCCGCAATGGAAATGGCTTGTTCTAGTGAATCTAGTTCAAGACGGAACAGGTGAGTCTTGACGGGACCATCCGCAAGACCCTGCATGAACACCGAAACCAACGTGTGTTCATCCACCGGATTGGAACTTATATAACTCGTGAGATGTCGTATATGTTGAGCGTAAGCGTGCACATCACGCGTACCCTGCTTAAGCTTCAATTTTTGGTTCGATCCCTGAACTCAGCTCTAGGCGGTTCAAACGTTTGTCTGAGCCGCGACTTGAAGACTTCCAACGACCCAAACGCATATGGGTCGTGCAACTTGTGCCCCAAAGCCCAAGTCTTGGCACGTCCTGCCAGATTTGACTGGGCAAATGTAGCTTTCAAATCCCCGTCGTCGATGCGACGCGCCCTTATGGCGTCATTCAATTTGACGAACCATCTCAAGAGGGAGTCCTCTTCGACTCATCTATGCTTGGAGATGTCAATCTTCAAGGTCTCGGGTCGACGCGAGTGCATCGACCCACCAGCAGCAGCCTGCTGTTGTCTCAACAGTTCAAACTGTTGAGCACCCTGTTCTCTCAACAACTCTGCTTGTTGAGAACCTTGTTGGTGAAGCAAGGCTACTTTCTCGAGTTCAGCGTCAAGTTCATTTTGAATGAACTTGGCGATAGTAGCATGTTATGCAACCTCTATTGAGATCCTCGAGCCTGACGCTAACTGCATGGATGCCCATGGTTGAATTCATCCGTTCAAACGCATCCCACTCGATATCGCCCAAATGGGAGTAGCCGTCACGCGTAGCCTGAAAGCTTTGGTCATCTTCATCATCCAACATATTCATGTTAGATGTGAATGTGGTCCTTGGACGGACTACGAAGTGCTACCAGGTGTAACGGGGCACCCTGAAGCTTGTACTGGTGACAGTACAAGCTACTTATTCTGATGACAGAATCAGGCGGTGCCTCGTAACTTCACGTACACTCGTACGTGCAGAGGAAGACGGTAAGAAGAAGCGAGTACTTGGTTAAAGTAAAAAGTAGAACTGTATTTAGTATAGTTAATGTCTGCAATAAATCACTATTTATCTTCATCTAACTATGTCTAAATACAAATGTGTAAATCAGTTATCTGCTCACCACTCATTGCGTGCGTCTGTCGTGGCGCGTCTTCGTTGGTTGATATAATGGCCTATGTCAACCAATCAGGAACTGCTCGTAAGTGCTGCAGAATTTTGTCCTTATGACAATATTCTGAGAATATAACTCTTATAGTTATATTCTATTAACAATTTCTAATAAATTGTTATGTAACGGTTCACCCCATTACACCATCAAGCATCACATACGATTCGGACAACCCATCAACACTTGGTCTTCTGTTTTTGTCTGAAAGGAAGCTAGGTACTTAAGTTAAGGCGATGCTTGCATTCTGCCCGCACTACAGACAATCCTGAGTGCTGCAAAGTTGATATCAAATAAAGACACTCGCGCACGAACACAATTTGTTTCATTCTATACACGTACTGAACGCATTACATATGCTTTTCAACACAAGTAGTGATTGTAACATCATACTTAGTAAAAAGAATTCAAAAGTACCAGAGAAGACAAAAATGGAAACAAGAAAGCTTCGATAGTCTTTAATGTCGAACGGGACAAGTTCGAATATTATGTCCTTCCTTGTGGCACTCTACACTTTTCGCTTCCATCTTCCAAGTAGTCTAGATGTCGCACCCTCAGTAATTACATGTTTGAATACCGAGGTGTATATGTATGTCGACTTTTGTGAGGAAAAATTGGTACTTACCTGCGGTCTACCACGCCCACGAACCGTAGCGGGATAACTACATAGCCATGCTATCGCCTTTGACTATATCGGTTAACATGATACGAAAGACGGGTTGCTGATGTGAAGCAAGGTTTGCATACCTTTCCGCAATTTTCTCATGGTATTGTCGAGTAAATCTTTGGGTACGACACCAGCCACTGAACAAAGATTGTTGCGGCCACCAGTGCTGCAGTATATCTGTCATCTGTGGTGCTTTACCATCGAATATTATGCGCTTCGTCATATGACAGTACGGGAATCCTACAATTATCGTTTAGGATTTAGTGCAAGCATTAGAATCAGCCGGCAGTTAAAGTGCGAGCTGACATCGACCGAACGCTCTTTTATAGCTTCGCATAAACTTTCTTAACCACGTCCAAATAAAATTCTGACAGTGTCTCGGTTGAGCACTTGCCTATGAATGGACATAATACGACTGGTCTCAGCCTTCTTCTGAGTGTGATGCAACATTATTTTGTCGCAAACTCATCCATAAAAACTGTTGTTGCAGAAACGCCTCCGCCAAAAAAGTGATACACGAAAGGCGCGTTTGGACAATTTTACTAATTCGCGATGAAGCGATTGGTAATGCACGACGTAGCGATTTGTAATGTGCATTATAGCGGTACGATCTAGTTGTCGAATAAATTAGTAGGATTAGACTAGGAAAACATTTTGCGAGCTGAGGAACTGATGTATTCGCTTCTCATTTCGCCAATCATCGAGCACTCAAACTTTTCAACAGGTTTTGAGCTCAAGTCCCGTCTTACTTGAATCTGACTAGGACTTTTCATCGACATGGACGCCTTTGATCCCAACCGCATCATCAAGTTCGACGGAACAACGTTCCTTACGTGAAGGTTCAAGATGCGGATGGTGCTGGAGGAGCGTAAACTATGGGAAGTTGTGAGATCAAGATGGAACAGTTCGTCATGCAGTTGGATAAGGGGACGTTTAAGCGCAAGTCCCGCAAGGCACTATCATTCATCCATCTGTCTCGCAATGTAGAATCCGTACTGCCGTTGGTCCGGTATGCGAGTGGAGCGCATAATGCATTGTCGCGACTGGAAAGAAATTTTGAGAAGCAGAGCCTCGCAAACAAGCTCTTTCCTCGTCATCTCTTCTATACGGCCAAGATGGAATAAGACGCGGATGTGTTGAAAAATATTGAGATGATAAAGATGTTGGCGGAGCAGCTCGACGCAGTGGGCGCTCTGGTCAGCGAGAAAGATCACTTGATTACGCTCCTCGCACGTCTCATCGAGTCGTACGGATTCCTCATTACGGCGTTACTGTCAAGAGCCGACTCGCTGTCGTGGGACGTCGTCACGTAATGACTGCTGCAGGAAGATCTTAAGAGCAAGGAACAAGGCTTTAAAGGAGAGACGGACGGACAAAGTCAAGCGTTTATAATTCAAGGCACTGGCTAGATCTTCGGACAACAAGCTCGAGAAAAAATTAGCACCGCTCGTCACTACTGTGGGGAGCACGAACATTAGATCACCAAGTGTACAACCTGGATCCGGGAGAAAGCAGGACGGCAGCGGTCACAGCGTGCCAAACTTGCTCAGAGCAACGATAGCCAAAGTGACTAAATGTTTTCGATTAGAGTCCACATGCTCAGCTATATCAAGATGCCTGTGGCTGGTTGAATCGGGTGCACCAGAGCACATGATGTTCTTGGAAGAGGTTATGAAGAATAACAATAATCCTGTGGACGTTCACCTCGTGAACGGCGGTGTGCTTCAAACATTTTAAACGGGTGACATCATTAAGTCGATGAAGACGTCAAGAGGAGTGAAGAAGGTTGTGCTTACATCAGTGTGACCCTTTTTTAACCTGTCACGCAACATGTTCTTCGTAGGGAGTTTCACCTAAGGATGTTGGCCCGGTCACGTTCGAGCAAGATGGGTCCTTCCTTTGCTGCAGCAAAAGGTCTTCGCTGTAAGCTTAGTGCACGCGAAGGCGAATGGCTATTCGTGTTGTGCATGGAGCCTATTTTGGTTGACCAAGCCACTGTGACTAGCTCGTTGGGATGTCTTGGGCGCACCACTTCATACCTCTGGCACCAACGACTAAATCACATTGGCTATGGCGGTCTGTCCACTATAGTCACCCAAGGCGTTGGCACTGGTACCAAATTGACTTCGTTGCGCAAGTGGAAACTTTGTGATGGCTGTGAGCTCGGAAAGCACACACGGGTGAACTTCGTGAATTTTGCCAAGGAAGTGCTCGAAGTCATCCATAGCGTCCTTTGTGGCCCTGTGTAGACCGAAACATTCAGTGGTAAGCGCTACTTCGTCAATGTTATTGACGAGAAGTCGCATTATTGAGTCACCTACCTGCTAAAGATCAATTCAGAGGTATCCGGCAAATTCGCTTTCTTCGTTGCGCTGGCCGAAAACAAGACCAGCATGCGCGTGAAAAGCTTCGGTGTGACAATGGCGGGGAACATACTTCTAATTAGATTGCCAAATTCTGTGCAGAACACGGCATTGTACGGAGATTCACGCCTTTTTGGTGGAGTTGCCGAGCACACGAACCGCACACTGGTCGAATGTGTTGCTGCATGCTGATGCATGCTGGTTTGCCAATGTCGTATTTTAGGGAAGACGTCATGACTGCGACATTTCTACGCAACTGATGTCCATCGCATGCGGTTGGTCACGGCATGTCGCCGTACCAAGTTTGGACTGGTAATAAACCCTACTGGCGAACCTGGAGGGTTTCGTTTGCCATGCGTACGTCCGAGTGCTCAAACAAAAAAAAACTAGAAATTTGACTCTCGCTCTTTGCTCAGCCGATTTCTTGGCTTTTCCGAGCATAAAAAGTGTACCTATTCAAAGACATTGAGAATAGTCGTGTGAGGACGAGTCGTGAAGCACGGTTCATGGAGAACGTCTTCGATCACGTACAGCGCAGTAGCACATTTGTCGCTCCAGATGAAATGGTGGTCGATGGAACTTTGTTTGAAACTAATCAGACTGACCAAGACACTAATGAAGCTGCGTTAAATAAAGATGTCATGCCAAGCAGTGCCAAGAATACAAAGCCCTAAGCCCCACCTGACATCGAATTCGAGCATAGAAGCAAGCGGCATCCTCGCCATCAATCACTAAAACATGCAGTGTAGATTTCCTGGGTCGAGAAACCAGTTATTCACCGATCTCTTGACGCGATGTCCACGACGGCTAAAGATGTTGACACTGCATATATTGATTCAGTGGGGGAAACGCTGACAACGTTAAGTTACCTACAAGGATGACTGCGACACCGAAGTGGCATCATTGCGCAAGAACAAGAATAGGAAAATAGTGCCACTTTCACAAGGTCGCAAGGCAATCGGTTGTCGATAGATCTATAGGATCAAGGAGAATCAAGCTGGCGAGATCAAGAAATTTAAGGTGCGACATTTTGCCAAGGGTTTCTCGTAAAAATATGGTTTTGACTATAGAAACGTTTAATCCGGTGTCTAAGCTCACATCTATCCAGATCCTGCATCGTTTGTCGACCTAATAAAAGTTGAAGGTGCACCAAATGGACGTCAAAACAGCTTTCCTGAACGAATTTTTTGACGAAGACATTTGCATACTGCAGCCCGACGGATACACCGAAAAAGTTAAGCCGGACTATGTCGGTCAGCTCATGCGCTCTCTCCACGTATAATGTAATTCTCCGCGCATAGGTAATCAAACCATTAAAAAATTCATTTTCGAGAAAGGGTTCAAGAAGTGCAAGAATGACCACTGTATCTACGCCAAGTAAGAAGGCGAAGACATTAATTTCGTGGCGCTTTACGTCGACAACATGGTTCTCGCATGTAACAACAACGAAATGCTTTGAATTAAGAAGAAGCCTCTATGAAAACAATCTAAGATGACACATCTCAGCCGACTGAAGTGCTTATTGGGCATGGATATTGAGCAAGATCTCAGTTGCGATGATTTTGCTTGTTAAAACAGGTTTGACGCAGAAATACTGGAGAAGTTCGGCATGGAGTCAGTAACCCCGTCAATACACCGCAAGATGCCGGAACTAAGCTGATCAAGAGCATGTGCGAAGAAGGATGCAACCATGAAGCGACCATGGCTTATGCCCCCCTTATCGAAATGCTGTCGGCTGCCTCTTTAATCTAATGGTTACGACCCGATCAAATATGGCTGCCGCAGTAGGAGCTCTCAGCCAGTTTGCCTTGGACCCGTGCCCAAAAAATTGGCAGGCACTCAAGAGGGTCTTAAGATGTGTACAAGGGACGAAGACACATGGCATCGAATTCCAAGCCAAGGACCTTCTAGAATTGAAGGCTATTTGTGTTTGGACTGTTCTGGTGACGTGGACACTCGACGAAGCACAAGGGGTTTACATTTGATAATGAATGGCAAGTGCATCAGCTAAAAAGCAAGAAGCAACGCACGGTTGCACTGTCTTCAACGAAAGCAGAATGCATAGGCGTTTCATAAACTCTTTTTAGAAGCAATTTGGCTGAAGGCGTTCCTGTGCGAGCTTGGCGAGATGTCACTCTACGAAGTAGCAAAAATTTATGAAGATAACCAAGAATCGATGGGATCAACCAAGAATTAGGAGTGCCACAAGCGTACCAAGCACATTAACATTAGCCATGAATTCGTGCGGGAGAAAGTTCGAAGGCGTTCAAGTAGTGCTGTAATACTGCTCGAAGAAGGACATGGAGGCCGAATTGAAGATTAGGCCAACTAGCCGCGGTTTAATTTGCAGGTCCCCGGAACAAGTTGGGGATCAAGGCACCAAGGTCTGCCGAGTCGAGTGGGAGATTTTCTGCAAAAACGCCTCTGCCAAAAAGTGATGCATCCTAGGTGCGTATGGACAATTACAAATGCGCGACGTAACGATTGGTAATGGGCCACGTTGCGATGAGCAATTCACTACGTAGCGACGATGTGTGGTCGAATAACACATTAGGCCTAGACCAGCAAAAGAGATTGCGAACGAGATATCTCGATGTAATCACTCTGCATTTTGCCAAACATCAAGCGTTTAACTTTATCAATAAGATCACCACTGGATACCTTAATCAATTCTTCATAGTTGCGTGCCCGCCCTCGACTCGCGATGCCACAAGTAAAACATGATAAGAAAAATGAAAATGCTATATCTTAAAAAAACATTTGTTTGTGCGGCAGCCATGTCTGATTTAGGTAAGAAGTGACAACAAAATGATGCTTGACTATATCGCTTGCCATTCATAGTCAAAAACCAACTAGGTCACCGTATTACAGAGCATGTCCCAGTCACCGATAAAGTCTTCCCATTCCTTAGATGCAGCAAACTACTAATTCAGACTCGCCAGCACATTTCTGTTAGCGTGTTATATGAAAATCAAGTTGTGGGCAGCGGTAAAACGCTTTGATTGCGTTCATAAGTGCGACATCTCTGATTGTAACGAACAGCATCGCACTGAATCTGTTGAGAGATTGTGTGAGATCTCTCAGTTGCCTAAATGCCCACAAATAATCGTCCCTCGTCTCTGCAGCCGTGAAGATGCGAGTGAGAACGACTGATTTGTTGCTGTTACGCTCATAATGTACAGTTGAGTCATTTGTTATTTGTTATTTTTGTACGTTGAGTCCAAAGACGAACGTCGTTTGCAGAATTATCTTTCGCAATAAGTACAGTGGAGTCTGGCGCAATGAAAAGGTGGGTAAGCCCGTCTACGGAATCTCTACATTTCTAATGGATTCCGTTGTATTCAATCAGCATTTCTAAAAAATCATCCAACGGTAGGCGACCAGCAAGAAACTCGTCCTTAGCTTTTGCTTGACATTGTAAATATCCGAAAGGATGTCTTTGGAGGATGGGTCGGTCTGAAGCAGGGTAACTAGTATTGCTATTGGCTGGACTCCTGCTTTACACATCTGCTCAAGCTTCAACAGATGCTCGTCGCTAAGGATCTTTGCCGCTGCGTATGTAGCGACATATTCTGATGCTGCATAGTTATGTGTAGTATTATCAGCCGTTAAAATGAATGAGCCGTCTGACTCATTTCGTCGCAGTGTTGCCTGAAAATGGCAGCGGGTTTGCGAGGTGCTAGTACTGCAGACTCCTGCCCATTCCATTTATGTGCCTCACCATGTACGCAGTAAACAACAACAAGTTTGATCGTTCCAGCCTTTCTGTACCCACCGGTATCTTTCTGCTGTTTCGTGAGCATAAATCTTTTCCATGCTATATCAAGGGACGAGAAAGTTGTACCAGCCTGTGGTGTTAGCAACATGGTGAAGTGGTATTATTAACGTCGTTGGGGTCATGTGAGATGAATTAAAGATGCTATGCACTTCGTCTTATAAATCTTATTTGATCTAACTTGGGTTGTGGTACAATAATAGAAAGGTTGGTTCTTTAAAACTTTTTTTTAAGTGGGGTGTGATATATGTAAAAGAAAAGCAAGTCTGATGCAATGTCATCGATTTTAATTGATCTGTAGTACATGTAACAGATGGTTGTGTTACGTATAACGACTCCCTATAATTTTTGCGAAACGCCGTAAAATCAACATGTTTTAGTGTGAAAAGCTCATCCCGAACCACTCACTTCTCTTCCACCCCTAAATAAATTTAGTTCAAACAGCAGAATAATGTTGCCAGAGACCAATCGCACAGGTCCTCACCTTTTGGTTTCAAACAGTTCATCATCATCTCGTGCCTCAAGGTCAGAGATACGTATCAATCCTGGTCGTTTGTTGGGGTTGTTGTTCTTCGTTAAGAACACGATGTAAGTTTTGGTTGACTTTCCATTGATGGACGCGTAGTAGTAGGAGAAGTAATGAAAGGAACTGAATAAGAGAAGGAGACATTTACAGGCAGATTGAACAATTTCGAGAGAATCAAGATCTTCGGTAGTGCCTGCGCCTTTCGTTGTCTGTGTCAGGAAACTCACCGTACTGCGTCCAAAGCTATTCCGTAGCCTACAGGATGACCTTCGCAGCACCAACTACACAAACACTACCCTCTATGCTTGGCTTAAATAGGCTAGCTAATCCACGCTTATTGCAAGGTATTCATATAGACATATACAGTATATTTCGCTTTGTAGCTATCAGTTATAAGTTAGGGACCGTAGAACAACCATAGAGCGACCGCGGCCGACGTCCAATTATAAAAAAGGCAGATGCTATAAGATTTCGGGGGAAATATCCGAGAGAGCACTCAATGTGTACGTCTAATTACACCTGCGCATCGCTATAGCTCTTACTCATCTTCTATTCCATGTCATCAATAATTAAAAGAGTAAGTGGCAACACTACACCGATGACCGGAATAAGTGTGGATACAACATAATGGGTTCATTTTTTGTGCGGTTCACTTTATTGTATAGACTGATAGTCGTAAATCGGAAGGTTGAGAAATAGTGTGGACTCCGCACGGACTTTGCAAACTTCGTGGCTAATATCATGTACAGTATATGTCATTATCATTTTAA